GACTCTTAAAGGGAATGGGAGATGAGACTCTGATTGGTTTATTCTCAAAACACAAACTCATTAAGAAAATTAGCTCAACCCTTATAGACCATGCGTCACGGCGCAAAGCTGATTTTTCCAACCTTATATTAGCAAAAGTGGATTCTGACATGCCCGTTTGCGCCCTACACTTTGCACTTTGCGCATAGATTGTCAAAATTGAACCCTATATGATGTATTTGGATGTAATTTGCATTTTCCTCCTGTAGAAAAATGTCATAAGAACAATACTATCATAGTGGCTCAATGTATTACAACATTGTTTTTTAAAAGTCTGAACACTTTATTGATATAGTATACATCCAAGCACACGTGGTCAGAACAAGTTCCAGGTAATGAAGTATTAAGCGTTTCTCCTATAGAAAAGCCAGCATTAGCTAAATGATTGCAGGCATCTGTAGCTCTGCTCAAACTCCACCTCTTTGCCTTTGTTTGGTATCCCCCGGTCAGTGCGATGACGCGCGAATAAAATGGCGACGGTTGGCCAAGCCTACTGGTAGCTTCTTTTGGGTTCTTCAGAAACCTATGGGTGGCGTCACGGATACTACGTACATATCTTTTACAGTCTATGGAAGCAACACTAAAATATGAGAGAAAGTATAGAAAGTCATAAATATGAGCCCTCCTGTGAAATTTATTTTCTTTTTTAAATATTTCCCCAATTATCTTTTATAAAGGAAGGCATTTTTCACAGTATATTCTATAATATTTTTCAAGTCTTGTTTGCTTTATTTCAGCTAGAATAAAAGCAGTTTTTATTTTTTAAACCCACTTTAAAGTCAATATTAATGCCCCCTTAAGCTATATAATTTTTCAATTGTCTACAGAACAATCCATTGTTATACAATGATTTGCCTAATTACCCCAACCTGCCTAATGAACCTAGTTGAGCCATTAAGTTGCACTTTAAGCTGTAGAGAATTGTCTTGAAAAAATATCTAGTAAAATATTATATACTGTCATCATGGCAAAGATAAAATAAACCATTTATTAGATTTCTATAATATTAGAAATTAGATATTAAAACTAGTATGTTAAGGAATGTGTGGAAAAAAATATTTTTTTTTTTGTAAAATATTATATACTGTCATCATGGCAAAGATAAAATAAACCATTTATTAGATTTCTATTATATTAGAAATTAGATATTAAAACTAGTATGTTAAGGAATGTGTGGAAAAAAAATCTACACTGCCTTAAAAAGAAATTGGGGGAACAATATACAGGGAGCTAATAATTCTGCCTTCAACTGTACAATCCTTGATACAATTTATTTTTTTCACTTTTATTTGATTTTTTTTCCCATTTCAGTGCACAAACATCTTTTTGCTTTCAGACTGCTGGATTATAACAGAAGTGATCGTGCTTTTGAGTGCTCTGTTTTTGTTTTGATCAGTCTAGCCACAATGCCTTGTCTGTGTTTTTAAATGGTAAACACTGTCCTGCCTCACTGACCACAAACATTAACAGTTCATGGTTGAAAACCAGCAGCAACATCCAGACCAGCCACCTTAAACGCTGGGATGAAGCTCATTCCCTGCTGCTTTATCTCATGGGAGGGTACATTGGGCTGTCTCAATAAAGCTCAGCCCAGCACCAAAACACAACAAAGGGTAGTTTGATTTTAATAAAAAAAATACAAATAAAAATCGCCTTCACCCCCTGCCTCCCAAAAGTTTTCAGCTTCATGCCAAGTTCACAGAAAAACTGTTTACAGAGCAGTGAAGCTCACATGAATAACACCATAATCTCCAGACGCTCTACCAGAAAATCCTGCTGCGCTCGGTCTTCAAAGACACAGCCACCAGTTCCAAAACAAGTAGAACGAGTAAAAACAAATATCAGTAACTAAATCCATGTAAAGGTAAGGAGGTCAATCCACCGCCTGGGACAGATGAATGCAGATAATGAAGGACATTTCCCTTCGGCGGACACACCAAATCCCTTGCGATAGTGTAGCCCATGTATAAAGAAAGATGAACAGTGCATGCTGACAATCACACCCTCTTTTTTTATACCTAATTTTTTTTCATTTGACGTGCAAATCTTTACCATGAGATAGTAAATGAAATGTTCACAGAGGTGGATTTTTGGGAAGGTTTTGTGATTGTGATCTGTTAAACCTTAATAGTTCAACAAAATTAAACTTAAAAAACTTATAAAAATGCTATAATAGATGTACCTTAAGTGACTTTTTCATCAATAGGACATGAAAAGATGAATATGAGATACATAAAATGCTAAGTCAATGGCGGCTTTCTCTTAAAAGAGAGTTAAAAATGCATACTGTACAAAACAATGTGACTCCTGACAATACATTGAGGTCAAAAAGTTTAGCTTATGCAAGAAACTGAAAAATATTTACACAAATATTATTACCTTCAATCAAGAGTTGTCTAGTCTGCGGTTTTTAAGCAGAATTGGTCTTCTTTTTTTAATTGTGCAGGTAAAATTATATGACTACCAAAACATCTAAGTGGGTGTGGCTTGTTTTTTTTTTTACTGCAAGCTGATTGGATGTAGTAAAAGCAGTGTCTCATTTCAGAGGCTGCACCCTCCAAAGGATGATTTTGAGGAGCTCTGCGTCATCGCAGCGCAACAAAAGCAATTCGAAACAATTCGAAGGCTTCCTCAAACGCAGCCCCAAAATGCGTCCTTTGGTAATGTAGAATACAACAGGTGGATCCTTTGTGGCCTTGAACAACCTAAGATTCATTGCGCGCTGATAACGGCAGGATGTTTTTAAAAGAAAACTCCGGATTAAATGTATGAATTAGGTTTATTTTGTCTAAACACATTTTAAAAAACAAACAGAGTATGACATGTCTTTAAGAGTGATTTTATAGACAGTTTACATGTTTATCTGTTCATATGGATCAAAGGAAATATATTTCCAGCTTCTGCAAACCTTGCTTTGCCTTCAGATCATTTAAAATAAGTTTTAAAATCACTTTGAAAAAACGTCAATACAAATTTTATTACCGCCTATTAACGGCAGCTGTTACAGTTGCAAGGTGAAGAGATCCATCCCTCTCGTCTCATTTCAAAATGCTCGGTTCAGCCTACAGTATGTGGACTTCGAAAGACTCACCTTTGAAGTCTGCATCCTTTTGGAGGATGCAGCCTCTGAAATGAAACACAGCCAAAGTAGGCATTTCATTTATTTATTTATTTATTTATTTATTTTTTGTAATTACATGCACAAATGAATTGTTCACAGCAAAACTAGCAACAAAATCTTATGGTTTTGTTTCCATGTGTACTTTAAGGTTTTTTTATGATTACAGAATCTTTACAATTTCTAATATACAGTTATTTGCAAAGACAAATGTAATATGTCTTTAATGCATACATTAATGCAAAATGGGTATTTTAGAATTTCTGGCGGCATATTTTGACTTTTTATATTATTGAGCTTATTTTACCTGGCAACCCTGCCCTTAATCCACAGCACTGGCAAATTATAATTTTCTATGCATTATTCCTCAACATAAAATGGCATATTTATTAAAAGTTGATCAATAAGTAAATTTTTAGTTTTAAAAGTAGCGTTTAGAAGCCTGTCGAATCTCAACAAGGATATGAATGTTTCAGGTTGTTTTAACTGTACAAGCCCAGTTCTAGCTATGAGTCAGCAAGACAAAAGTTTCTGACATGCCATGTTATTCATACATTTATTCAAAACAAAAACACTGCAACCACCACCACCTCCACATGCTTTCACAGCAGTTTCAGTTTCACCGATCCCTGAGGAGCTGAACATTTTCCATGGTAACCAGTTGCTGCCAAAGTACCATAGCTATTCAACAACTAAAATATGTTACTAAAGTACATTTGCATACCAAGCACTGATTTGTTTGATTTAATGTCAGATTTGCTTTTGAAAGCATCTGATTGGATACAAATTTGTGCAATGCAGCATGAGTCATCATCCTTTTAAGATTTATATATTCACTACTGAAATTAAGAAAACATACAAAACATTTATAATACTTCTGATTGCATTACTTTAAGACAATCCCATAACCCATTAAACACTTGGTTAAAAAATTTTATCGAAAGGTCTTCAATATAACTGGTGAACCCTTCAAAATTCTGAATTTGGGTAAAAAAATAAAATGTGTTGTCAAACATCAAAAGAGTAAAGGTGCACTTTTCTGTACCGCAGTTAGAATGCACCATTTTAATTTAATTCATTTAGATATATAGCCAAAAATAAGGAATATTGTACAATAATTTCAAACTAAAACATGATTTAGTACAACAATAAGTTATTTTACTAAACATTAAATGTATATAATAAAAAAAGTATGTGAATATACAGAGACATTTTATATAACATTGATCCAAATCAAAATGCCACAACAATAGATAAACATGCTATATTTAATCATAACATACTGCAGAGCTGAACAACAAAGTACAGGTCTTGTATATATTTTTATTTATAAAATTATAAATTATCAACAGCAGAAAGCACTAAATTGGTAATAATAATATCTCAATATCTCAATAAATATATCTCAAAAGAACTGTACAGATATGATCTTTTCCTTTCATTATCAACTCAATCTGTGCTGATCACAACAACAAACTGCTGTGATATGCTATTTAATGAGTGAGACGAGCTTCAATTACACACATAAACAACTAGAAAGCTATTCTTATTACATCCACTTCACATCCAAACATATTGCATCTCTGTGTTCTGACATCTGATAACTTTTTGCCACGTACTACACATATCCTGCTAGCAATGTAAACAAAGCACACGCGCTTCCGACAACCTGTTGTTGCAACATTGTGAGACATAGTTTCATGGTAACTTATATAACTTATATTATTTAACAATGAATATGTATCCCTCGAAATATGTCACAATTCTTAACCGAATTAAGTCAGAGATAGTGTAAAAAACACAGCGACCAGACAAAAAGAAGTGTATGGGAATATTTACATACCGATATCGTGTTGTTGAGCCTAAGCAGATTGTAGCTCTCACTCGCTCCCGGTGAATCTGCTACAATGCCACACCTTATTCGCAGCTGATTGGACGGTTGTAACAGCGCTGTTCGATGCTCCACCTTAAAATCCATACGATTGGACTGTTAAAGCAGCGCTGATTCAAATAACCAATCAGGAGTGAGCTAGGTGAAACATCTCAGAAAGTTTTTCTCAAACATAATCACGAGGGGAGTAAAAATGGATTTCATAAATGATGAATATTATATTATATTATATTATATTATATTATATTATATTATATTATATTATATTATATTATATTATATTATATTATATTATATTATATTATATTATATTATATTATAACACAAAATCATTAAAAGATGCTGATAAAATCTCACATTAAATCAAGTTTAATTTTGTAAAATTATTGAGTAAAGAATCATCAAAGTTACTGGTAAACACTACTCCATATTTTATTTTGAATTGTTAGTGTGTTATTTTGAAACGATTTCAGTGAGTATTTTTGTTTCTGGGCATTCTTTAAAAGACTGAACACGGTCATAGATTTACATTTGTTAATGTATTTACGTCTAATCAGCACACGTTTTTCCGTCTGCTGGATGTAAATTATTGTTTTGGGGTGTATGTGTGTCTTAGCATATCAGTTTTGGCTATGCACTCTATCTAGTAGCTTGTATATTTCTCTTTTAACATCATTATTCGTAGGAAGGTATTTTATCATTGCTACATATTACATACATTAACTGTAATCGAATTACCTGTTTTTATGTTTTATTTAATTTTTATGCATTTCTGAATTATGTAAATTGCAAAACGTAAGTGTCTCCAATAGGGGGCGACAAAGTTCTTATAACGCCTTATGTTGCAATGAACTCTAAGAGATTGATTTTGGGAAATAATATGATATAAAAAGCGTTAATCAGATAAATATAGTCCTGTTGTGTTTTTTTATGTATAACAAGAAGCAGGCCAGTGCATATATATCTTCCAAAAGCCTCCAGATTTCATTTTTCCTGAGGACTGAAACCTTACTTTCAATCCACAGGTAGGTCTATCAAACTGTATGATCACCAAGACCTCAGACAGCTGTGTGTTGGTTACAGGCTCTTTGAACCCATTCCTGTCTATCAACCTGTCATGCTTTGAAAAAAGCCAGGGACCTTTTCCTGGGAACCCAAGAGAACGAAAAAGTAAAAAAAAAAAAAAAAAAGTGTAAACAAAAACAACTTTCAAGCCACCACATCCGTCAGTGAAAGAAAAGCTTTATTTTTAGCATTAGCAGCGGGGTGATTTCTGGCGCTCTGTACGTGAAATGGCAGAGACCCCTGCTGAGCTCTCGGAGTCCTTAATGAAACCTCTCAGTCTCTCTCTCACACACACACACACACACACTCTCGGCTGTCTGTGCCCGCGCGCGTTTGTGAGTGTGTGAGCGAGTTGCATAACTACTAGTGACGCCTGTGCCTTTCTCACTGTTGCCAGGGAGGACGGGCATCTGCCCTCCCGTAGAGCAGTCATCACGTCATTACTGTAGTCAAACATCTGAGCCCTCGAGTAAAACTGTGCTGACGAAGATGTTTGTCTTCAGAGATTACAGATTACAGATCCAGATGGAAAAACTGCTCAGAGGTGCTGAGGGACTACAGTCGTTGGTTCAGATATTAACTTTTCTATTAGAAGAAATAATTTAGATGCAAATGAATAATGCTGAAAAAGAAAATGAAGTAGGTCTACTAAAAAACAGAATGAATATATAGAAATAGAACTGACCTTCATGTCTATGCCCTGCAGGCACAAGATGTCAGATTGACCTTGTACCCCAACGTCATGGGACATTAGCCCTTTTCACACAGTGATACCAGTAAATATTCTGAAAATTTCTGGAACAACTTTACCTGTAAATAAAAAAAGCGCTGTTCACACAGGCAAGGACGTTATGGAATTTTCCCAGAAAAGATCATTCACACATCCTTTCCAAAATACCGCTAAATTCTGACATCATTAACCAAAAATGCTCTAAACGGCTGCGCTTGTATTGTAAACATTTGACTACATTATAAACTCTGTGGATCGATAAGTATTGTAAATAGCTTCAATAAAAAAACAGAGAACCACTTTCGCATGTTGAGATGTACATAATATGTATGTGTGCTGGCGCTCACTCCTTCACGGGCACACGCGACGCATCAAGCAACTAAGGGAAGCAGAGCTTGAAGGTAAACGAACAACGGCTTATCATAGGCATCTTATCGATAATTATTTACAAAGTTGACATTAAGAAGGAACATATAAATGTTATCTGACTATTATCCAGCAGCTAAATGTGTTTGGAAAAATATTCAAAGGCTTTTCTTTTTATAAATTGCGCGGACGTGAATGCGTCTGACTGTTCTAATTGGCTAAAGTAAACATCTCACTTCAGCATATTCTAGATGTGCAAGCGCTCTTTCCGGCAATCTTCCCTCTGCGTTCACACAGCGCAGCATTCCAGCAAATTACCGGTAATGTTACAACTTCTTTTTACAACATAGAACGATTTTACTGGTATTTTCAAAATGGGCCTGTTCACACATTAAGACCTTTCCGGAAAATTGCCGGTAATTTTCCGGAAAGGTCTGTATGTGTGAAAGGGGCTATTGTCTTTTGTTTGTAAATGAAAATTGGGTTGACGTCAGAATCCAATGTCAGATCGATGTCAATGTCCAATGTTGGATAGACGTTGCATTTTGGTTACTTTCCAACACAACCTAAAATATCAACGTCTAATGATGTTACAGCTAGACGTTGTGTGGACGTTACTACTATGAAGTCTAGAACTTGAATTTTGGTTGCAATACCTGACAAATAAATGCCTGTCCACTTGTTAAGTCATGACATATTAGTGATGTATGGAATACTGTTTACGGGTCCAAGCCACTACTCATTTGAATTAGGAAAATATTCGTTTATGACCACATTTTAGTCGTATCACACATTAAAGTGAATTTTATAAAGTCGTGGTGTACACAACAGTCTCTTGACTTACTGCATCACAGACACCAAAATTTTAACAATTTATAAAATTGAATTCCTTTCTGGCCATCTGATATTAGGCATGGACATATTGTGATTACGATTTTGGAAAGTATTTCATCGCTTTGTAAACATTTATTATTACTATTTGATGAGTCTCCCCATAAAGTTTAATAGAGAGCTTGGACCTGAAAGTCGCTTTTCGTGACGTCACACTTAACAAGCTAATTACTATTGAAATCGGTGTCTATAGATTCCATCTTTGCCAAATCCAAAGATTGTGCCAGGATTACAAAATGCTATGGTTTTTCCATTCGTCCTAAACTTGATTATTTTTCAACAGATGATCAGACAATATGCCGCACAGAAATGAATCAGATAGCACGCTAACCTGCTAACCAGATGTCATTCTTTCTTTGGCTTTTTAAATAATTTTTTTTATAGCTGTTTACAGACAAGATCTTGAATACAAGCGGCCGAAATGAGTTTCCTTCGAAAAGTAGCAGGGCGCACTCTTATGGATAGGGTGAGGAGCTCTGATACCAGGGAAAAGCTCGGAGTAGAGCCGAGAGGAGATTCGGGAGTAGGTCCACCGGGAGGAAGCCTCAGGGAAAACCCAGGACACGCTGGAGGGACTATGTGGAGGGACATGCCTCGGGATCTCTCGGAGGAAGTGTATGGGGAGAGGGAAGTCTGGGGTTCTCTCCTAAGACTGCTGCCCCCGCAACACGGCCCCGGAAAAGCGGCAGAAAGTAAATGAATGAACAAATAAATAAATTAATATTCCTTCAGCAGCTTAGTCCCTTATTTATTAGGGGTTGCCACAGCGGATTGAACCACAAACTATTCCGGCACATGTTTTACACAGTGGATATCCTTCCAGCCACAACCTAGTACTGGGAAACATCCATACACTCTCATATTTACATACACGCACTCTCATACACTATAGCTTCTCTACTTAACTTATACCGCATGTCTTTGGACTGTGGGGGAAACCGGAACACCTAAAGGAAACCCACACCAACACGGAGAGAACATGCAAACTCCACACAGAAATGCCAACTGGCCCAGCCAGGATTCGAACCAGCGACCTTCTTGCCGTGAGGTGACCACTGAGCCACCGAGCCACCATTTTTTACCAATTGGTGTAAACATACCCTACATACTTGTGATTATATATTCCTTCTTGCATTGCAAGATTTGAGCTGCATTTACACTTGCCCATTCAAATTCAAACTCTTTCCCCATAAGGTGCTTTATTTTGAATTTGCTTATTGGATTAGAGTGTTTGGTAAAAACTTCTAACTGGCACATGTAGGAGTCAATGTGAGAGGAAGAACCACGCTGTATAGCTACATCAATTCAACATGCTAGTAAATTATCCCCTCTGGTCAACCTACTTTCATCACAATTAAAATGCCAAGGGCTGCAGTGCATTACTCTTTTATTCTGTTTTCCTCTCTTTTTTGCACACAGACACTTGAGAGAGCTCAGACCTGCTTATAGGGAAGTGATGAGGACATCATAGGCTAGCCAGGACACTGATACTGTGTCAGTATTAAAGAGAACACCAAGCTGTAAATCTCTCATGACATTACATCCAATTTGTTTGGCTCCGACAGACATACCACGTTCTTCTTTTCATATTTACATCTGCTTTTCTGAATGGCTCCTGCAAACAAAGTCAGTCCCAAGCTGGCGGAACATATCAGAGAGATTTGATGCCACATTTCTCCTGAAGTTTAATTTAAATGTTGATCTAATAAATCTCCTGCTTGTTTCTGAGCCACATCACTCCACACAGGCCTGTAAAATCTGATGAATACATCAGTTCTCCGGGGAGGAATAAACCTGTCCAGTTAAATGAGATTGCAGGAGTAGCTGTGCATCTGGATCCAAATGAATCCGTCGGACTACCCTAATTTCATAATGGCAGCCTCGATCAGAGCAGCTGCAGCCCTTCGCCCAGACACATTAATTCTCTAAATAAGTTCTC